ACTTTAAACATAATATAAAATAAATATCATGTTTTAGGATTGAGTGTGAACGATGTGTCGTTTGCCCCGCATTTCCACGGCGTGGTTTTATCACCTGTTCAGTGGGACTCAATCTTGCCTGGATATTCCAGCTTTTATCCTGCTACGTTTCGTTGTGCTGTTCCGTATCTGCTGGCATCGTTGGTCCACCATTACGCATGGCTGAAGCTGAACCTGAATCCCAACCACCCGTTATTGTTGTCCCATGCTTGGACCAGTGGAATTTTGCCTCAACTGTTCCCACAGGTTCTCACTGGCGTCCTCGAAAACACAACGTCACGAATGGTGGCAACTGGGATACCTCCGCATGTTCCTCTGTCAATCCAACTGCAGTCGGTAAAGTCTGCGGTCGAAAATATTGGAACGTCAATTCAAAAAAAATTAGAATTGTTACCTGACCAAATTAGCACTGCGATTCAAAATCAATGCCGAAGCTCTCGCGACGAACCAGTTACAATGGAAATCCTCAACAACTCCTTACATAAATTTGGAGACAATATTATCAAGCGAATTGAGTCCATTACAACTTTACGGTCGCCGAATATGCACGAAAACACTCCCAACGTACCCTCGGCAACTCCAAGTCCCCTCAACTATTGGTGGGTCAACCAGCGTCAATTTGCAACGTCGAAATTGCACTGCCCCAAGGGCAAACTGTACGATTTGTAGAATCTATGGTGAGATGGGAGTGAGATGGACCTCATCCCACCATTGAGAACGTGTGCCTCGAAGGACTTCGGCACCCGAGCAGACCAAGCAAAGGTTTCCAAAGCCAAGAAGGTCGTTTTGGCACTGCTACCATGCTCGAACGTGTTAAACCAACAAGTCGTGTCGATGGACGTACCTGCTCGTATCGTGTTGTTTCAAGGATGCCTCGCTGCGTTGTGTCAGCGCCACCTTGCGCTGTCGGACCAAGCAGCTGTGGCCAAGAGGCGGGTGTCCGAGATGAGCTACCATTCGATGTACGATATAATTAACAAGTGATAGTGTTCTTTTCATTATGTACCTTGCCTTGGTGTTCGTTCCTTGTATCCCTGTTGCTTGTGTCGGTGCCCACTTATCTGCTTGAGCGCTGATGCGAAAGTTGGATACTGACATTATTTATACATTGTGCCGATTATCAGTTTATACAGTTTGTTTCGTGGTTTGTTTCGTAAAGGGGCAAATATAGGACAGTACTGTACTCACTCTTCACCTTTGAATTAATGTGTGACATAGTATACAGTATTCGATTGACACTGGATGGTTTTTACACATACAGACATCAGTACAAAAAAAATCGATCGTCGTCAACACAAAAATCGATCAAATTTTGGTTAACAGGTTAACCAAAGTCGAAATAAATCCCGTAATAGTTTTGTGTTTCTCCCTATTGCAAGAAAGCCTCGACACAGCAAGCCCCACACATGATACCACACCCAATCGAATCAAATCACTTTAATCGGTTCCTAACTATAGCGATGGAGCTGTCGTCAATCGTTCGTTTGCTTGTGATTATTCCACTTGATGGCCATTTCCGATTTCACGAACATGCGCGGAGGTTTCACGGGGCTCGTAGCTTATATGATGATCGGGAGTGTCGTGGTGGTGATGGCCACGTGTCCTGTGGCGAGCCCAAAGAATTCCAACTGCTGGTGAGACGACAAGATGAAGACGACCAAGGTCGTGGGCATGTGCGACGGCACCCGAGCCCAGCACTTCCACCAGAGTGCCCACAACGCCAAGAACAACGGGGCCCGCCACTACCTATGCTGCGATAAGGCGAGAGTCAAGTCGTACTGCATGACCATCTCCCAGGCTCAAGCGTGCGGGTGGGAGCAAGGGATTGCATTCTACTAGCTCCCTCACGACAACCAAATGGAGTTGCAGAATATAATAGTATTACATCAATATTAGTACATACTTCGAAGTATATTGTATATATTGTACTAGTATACTACGTAGTACCCATTTTGGTCCTATTAATAGGGGAGTTAATAGTTCGAGCTTATCCTTTTGACTTGCAGGATTCCGGATGTATCCGGATACCGTGGCCGTTGACAAGATTCAAAAAATCTTTGCAGGCATATCCACCCTGGCGGGTCCATCACGGCGATGCCAGTCCATGCAAAGACACGACACCTCATGTACAAACGAAGGAAGAAGCGATCGAATGCCATAGGAAGCAGAAGCCTCACGAATCCGTCGATGCCGCCGACGACACATAATCACCATCATCACCCATCGCTTCCAACCACGTCGCCAATGCCCGCCGAAGTCGACGAGACGAGACATGCAAGAAACCCCATGCTTCATACTCGCAAGGCCCCCCAAGACCCGCATGTCGACCCGCGATGCGACACATCCACCTCCTGCGACTCCTCGTAGCATGGCGTCGCTGTCTGTAGGAGGACGCCTGGAGCTCATCATGCCTGTTATCCCAATACTTCCCGATAATCACGACAATCCGTAGTCACCCCGTTAGTTGCATTAGTGGGTCATCAAGAAACGCACCTTAGTCTCCCTTGTACGGCGCCACACCTCGACGTGACAGCAAACGTCCCATGGATGTGCGGCTACTACTGCATAACCAACCTTGGACGCTCCACTCGTTGATATCATATTAGTTGAGTACTACCAAACAACTCCACCACACACCTACTAGTAGGTACTTTGACGACATTAGGTAGTACCTAATGGCACCACAAGGACGCCACGCTCAGTAAAGAAGTACTAATATGTACTACGTAGTACTACGTACTACATCACGCCGGAGCTCTGATTGGTTGAATATACTTGCCAATCAAATCCACTCAAAAATGGATTAGCCAATAGCGTCGATTCGTGATTCGATTGAAATGAAATTCATATCGAATCCCCAATATTAATATTAATGTAAGTTATTACTACATTAATATTTTTCAAAGCCAGTACATATGATATCACGTCGTCATGATCTACGTTATCGACCATCACAATAAGTACGTCATTCTAATGCCATACAATTACATGTCGTCTGTGTAATCGCCTTTCGATGAAGTACTAGCAGCAGCAGCAGCAGTAGGTACCTGCAGCAGCAGCAGCTTGTGGTGGTACAGTTTCGCAAACACTTCGAAATAATACGATGCGCCGTTGTGCACCGCGGCCACAAAGATGAGCTGAATGTACATGCAGTGCAGGAAATGCGATGTAAACAGGAGTGGCGTCGGGGCAAACGTCACCACGGTGTAGACTAGCTGGGCGGCCACAAAGATCGCCTTGGTCTTGGTCGTACGAGGGTCGTAAGCTTCCGTGGGCCCCATGATGCCACCATATCGACACAACCCAAGAACAAGTAGACTGAATCCGTTCTTTCGATCCGTGGTGAGCCATCTTAGTGACGTGAGGAGGTCCGGGCGGGCGTCGAGCGCGGCGCGGTCCACGACTTCAGTCTTGACGAAGTACAGCACTTGCCAAATTAGGTACCCAATGATAGCGTATGCAAAGTCCACTCTATCTAACGAGTCTTGGGGATGCGAGGGAGGGAGAAAGTAGTTCACGGAAGGCGGAGGATGGAGAAGCATGGAGGATGACGAGCAGCCGTGCCAGTGCACGCAGTAGTAGAGCAAGCACGGCATGATGTGGATGAACACACCACTCATGCGATCGATGTCGTGGAACACGAGAGAGTTGCGCCAGAGAACCACGGCCCACACGAGCGGGCCGTTGGCGTAGATGAACAGCACGCGGAAGAGGCGGCGGTCGTCCGACGGCGCCAGAGTGACGTGGACGATCGACAAGAACGTCACAAAGTAGCAAAAGTCGAGCAGAAAGTACTGCCACCCCACGCGCTTGAAGTACATGATACGAAGCGCTACCACCACCGGCGTGCAAACCAGGTACCACATCCAAAACTGCGTAGGCTGCGCCACCACAAAGTAATGCGTGAGCATCACCCCCAACACCCCCATCGTGAACTGCGTCTTGTCCAGAAACTTGACGTAGTATGGATCCTTGATCGCCTGGTCCTCGAGGCCCCAGATGATCTTGTCGAGAAAGTGCTTGACGTGGTGGATCTTGACCTTCTCCTTCAACGCCGCATGTGCACTGGGCTTTGTGGCCGGTGGAGGGTGGGCTATAGACATGTTCGATGCGTTGTCCGTCGCTCCTCCTTTTTTGGCGCCGACGTTGCCGCCTATCGCCCCTCCCGCCATCTCGTCAAGTTGCGATGTACGCCCATCTCGTCGAAACCTATTTTTACCCTGTGAATCTTTTTATATTGCTGATAACATTAAATTTGAATAAAACAAACATACATGATAGGTGATTTGTATGGGCAATAAACATGGTTCAAATAAAATCGTACAACATGATTATAACCAATCAAATAGTGACAAAGTCCCTCGAACGATTCGGATTGGTCCATAGGTTTTCAGAAAAAAATCTTTGGGAGGTGTATAATTTAATTTAAAACGACCTTGTAGTTTGTATGGAACATAGATTTGGTCAATTAAATACATGCCCTTCTCAAATGCACAACACTGTGACAGAGGTGCAAGGGATCGAGGAAGCATGCCACGGCGTCGCGGCATCTTGCGGAGTATCTCTGGATTCGACGCTCCATATTCGATTCCGCAATCCACCAGACAGGCGGGCTGCATCAAGCACTCACATGGATTCACTGTCTTAATTACCAATCGACACCATAGTTGCCAGCCTTGCCCATCAAGAGGGTGTTCGCTCCTTTGCTCAACCGCCAGTCCGCACTCGACGTCCACAACATCGCGCCTTGGTAGTCGGCACCAGTTGTTGCGTATGCTGTCAGTTGCGCGGGCGTCGGCGCGTCGCCGTACTCTCCGCACACCCCGCTTCCGGATTTCCCCACACACCCTCCGATCACAAGCTTGTCCTTGCCGACCGTCGGGCCCCACGTCGTCGGCACCGACGACAACACACCGTCCATTTTCGCCTATTCGGTCAGGTATCGTCATCATCATCGTCCATTTCGATTCAAGAAACGTACCGACACCTGGTTGTACAGCATGTTGTTGACTTGATCCACGAGCGGGAGGATCTTAGTGGGAAAGCATCGGCCATACTCGGCGGTCGGGTTGTTGCATCCGTCTTCGAGCGACCCGGGGAACTCGTCCCATGAGATAGGGTACGGTCCTCTGGGAAGCGCGTTCAGCTCCTTGCGCAGCGCCGAGAGGTACCCCACGACCTGTGGCTGTGCGGTCTTGACCCAGTCGCCGCCCGCGTCCAAGTTGCCGCTCTCGTCATCGATGTCGACGCCGCTAAAGTTGAACATTTGCACGAGCGACGCCGCGGTCTTGGCAAACGTGTTCCAGTGATCTTGGGTTTTGAGCATGAGGAACGTCTTGCGCTCTGTGGCGCCGCCGATGCTGATGTAGTTTTGAATGCACATGCTATTATTCCACGTTTGAGATGAGGGGTGGTACATAACATAAAGTAGTGTACTGCAACGCATCCATCCCTCGAACGATAACATAATGTAGTCAGAATTGAAGATATAAAGGCACCGTTACATAACATAAAGTGTCCTGCAGCCGTCCCAAAGGCATCGATGAAATAACATAATGTGCTTCGAAAGATGCAAAGTTAACATAATGTAGTCAGAATCAAGAAAGATGCAAAGTTAACATAATGTAGTCAGAATCAAGAAGGCATGTAAACACAAAGCAGTGCGAATCGTGGGCAACCATCATGTAGATGAAGCCACCATACATGAACTGGACGAAGGTACCATATACTGCATCGTCGTACGTACTTTTGAAACGTGTTGATGCACGCACGCAACGTGGCGTCGTTGCCTTGGAGCGTTTGGCTCACGGCCCCGGTCGTACCATCGATGGTGGCGAATCCCCAGTAGATGTGGGTCACGTACTTGGCGGCCTCGCTCGCGGCAAACTACCCGTGCGTGTCAGTCGAGACGGGAACTTACATGCAAGGAAGGGATGTACAAACCTCTTGGCATCCGTCGGCTTGGGACTCCCAAAACACACTGAACGTGTTGCCGTTCTTGCCGCCTGGACATGTCGTGCACGTCTTGTTGTCTTTGAGGTACTGGTTGCGTGCTAAGCACACTGGCGGTACGGGGACCAGCGTTCCATTTTTGCCTGGAATCAATGCCGGCGGCGACGTCTTGCCACCGGACGAGGAAGACGTCCCGGTTGCAAATATCCCTGTCTTGGTCACAAGCGAGATACCAACACCCAAACCCGTCACGAACATGACTAGACACATGCACACAGGTCATGACGCATCCATAAACGAGCATGGAGGATTGCGATGGACGTACTCAGGAGCGGCAGCGGCCACCAGTGACATCCCATGCTAGCTTCGTGTGGGGTGTTGTGTGTGATGGACAGATTTTGTCGAATGCCGCCCCGTTGAATGAAAAAATGTCGAGCTTTATGAGGATCAGCAAGCGTTTCTCACGACCATGATGAAGAGCATCTGCGCGAAATTAGACTTTGTATTTGTATGTACGTAAGACTCCGAGTCATTTGTATAGTGCGAGACATGCGAATTCACACAATACACTTTAAAAATAAAATGTTAGACTTAAATAGGATACAAACATATAGTTGTTTCTTCGAGTTTATTTAAAATTATCATGCGAAATGCCACGTTGTTTATTACTACTGTAGTACTAATACTTTCGAATACTAGATAAATGTCGTCCCGCCTGAAATGATGTATGTAACGTTAACAATTAACATATTCACGCACCCAGTCTCAGCCGAGGACATGATGGACATTTCGAAAGTGTTAACTTGCCACCCCCAGTCAGCTTACCTATCGCCCTGACTCTTGGCGAAAACTCGCCCAGAGCTTAATGTTAGCTTGGCAATAATGGCCTCTTGAAAATGCCCTTTTTACCAGCAAACGCTGCTTGTCACCCCTACAGATATTTATTTCCGCACAATGGCATTGTCGAGGGGACGCAACTGGATAAAAATGGCGAACTGGACAAAATTTGTGCAGACCATAATGGTAAATGATCCAAAGCCTGGAATGATGTACAATACCTACGAGGCACACCTTGTAGCATCGAGGATCGGAGAACTGAAACCTTGGTAACTATTGTGAGTTCGGCTCGAAATGTCCGAGCGCGGTACATTTGTTGACTTGTTAATGGAATTCGCAAGGTAGCCAGCCACCTTGCTACTACGTTGTACTTTTTAAAAACGTTATCCAATAAGAGTCGATCACTTGTTTCTTGCACACGATTGGCTATAACACTGGGCGTAAGTGGGCGTAGAGGTTACAATTTTGAACGGTTTGGACACTTGAATTTTGTAGAGCTTTGTGATGCTGCTCCGGAGAATTGTGAACTGATGAGTTCACCCCGACTATTTCCAGTGTAGTTCTCCCCTTACAGCTAACATTATGTTGTGCGCTCGGTTGGATTGCAATGTTGTGGTGGCTCTGGTGGGCCAACGCGGTGGAGGAAGAGGTCTTGGTAGCACCCATCGCAAAGGAGGTTCTCGTTTTAGGCGCATGCGCCTCTGGCGCATTGTCCGGTTAAATTGTATCCGGCAATCATCATATTGTATCCGTTAATTTCACTAATTTCGGGATCAAATGTAGGATTATCGAATACTGTATAACGGACATTTAGTTTTTATGGAGTATCATTGTCGAACTTAAACGGCAATTCATCCGGATATCACAGATTATACGGAGGAATGGTTGAATGGTTAGCGCACACTTACATTAGAGCATCTCCACCGCATTCCAGTAAATCGACACACAAATATCCGCATAGTGTTCGGAAAACAACCTCCAGTATTGTAATGGACTGATAATTCAGGATAATTCGCACCACAAAAAGCCCCACTCCAGCCAGTAATTCACCATCATTCGACCAGGCAGCTATCTCCTCAGTGGAAACCCGCGTTAATTTCGATAATGAGGTATGCTTATCACCAGGAATGGCACGCAATGATGCGCAACATGCATGCATATGTTCGAAGTTATCCTTATTACCAGGAATGGTATCAACTGTAGTTTCTCGTGAACTACACCACTTCCCGTTCAAGTTGAAATGAATTTCCAGTCAATGTGAAATGAACACGTTCGAAACACGACGATTTTCAAATCAACATGAATTCTCTAACATTCAACTTGAAACATACTTTGTTTCATATACAGTATATCCTGGTGTATGATTTGGATAAAGGAGGAAGATGGGTGAGGGAGGGTAGACATGATGTTTGAATCACTATTGTACTCTAAAGGGTAGTATAATTCATCACCTTATGGTCACTATACTATAGTTGAAGTAAGTTTAACGTTTCATTTTGAAGTGAACATTTTTCATTTGTGAAATCTTATATAATATTTCTGCATTTCACATTGACTGGAAATTCATTTCAACTTGAACGGGAAGTGGTGTAGTAAACGGAGTGCGGTGATATACTGATATACTACGTAATAGGCATCTGGCTCGGTAAATCCAGTACAAGTCCATCAAATCTGTGTGACTTTTGCTGAAATATTTGCTGGGAGATGCTCTTAAAACAAGATGGACGAGAGCAGCAATGATAACCCCGAGGGAGATCACACAACTGCACCTAGCGGAATGCCCGGTGCTGACGAATCCGGCAACCAACCAGCGACGGTTGGTATACCATCCCAGGCACCAGCATTCTCGGTATCCATCACAGATTCAATGACGCCAACGAGTTCGTAACTTGTGTGCAGGCATGGGCACGTGCCCAAGGCTTCACAGTGTCGCGGACGGGAGAGAACTTTTCGGAGAAACCCCCCACCCTGTTCACGGTGGACGAGGTGCTATCATGTGGCGATCCACCCTTTACTGCACGCACAAGGACCAGGCTTGTAGTGGCCGGTCGACGTGCGCGTGGCATATCAAGTTCAGTTATGACAAGGCCAATCTCAACTTTTCCATCACTTCCATAGGTAAGTCGTCTAAATATAGTGTAACAGCAATCTAACGATGTATTGTATTCTAATCTATGTACAGTAGTCTAATGTATTGTACCTTAGCTCTAATCTATGTACAGTAATCTAATGTATTGTACCTTAACTTCGTATTGTAAATTTAATCAAATCAATATACTTTTGGTTGCACAATTAATTTACATTCAGTAATCTAATTTATGCATTTACGTTCAGGTTTGGGGCATAACAACAGTATCATAGGAATGCATGTAATTGGACGCTGGAGAAGCAATTGGAGCCTGACGAAATCGACCGTGTTGTCGTCCTGGGCCGATTCAACTTGCCCGTCTCCAAAGTCCGGGAAATCATGGATGCGTTGTATCCAGAACGGATGTTTTGTCCCAGATTGCTATCTCGGTTAAAGGACAGAGGCCGGGTCCTACACCTTGGTCCGGAAGTGGACAGCATGGGCCGCTTTTTTGAAATGGGTTATGGTATGAAAGCCACCGGTGGCGTGTTCCACGTCAACCTAACGACAACATTGCAGTTTAAAAGTGTCGACATGCAGGTATCATATATTTTTCATGTGACTATTTTTCATGCATAATTATACTAATTCTTCCTCAATATAGCAACCTGGAATGATCAAGTATGCAACGTCGTACTCCGACTTTGTACTGTGCGATGGGACACACAATGTGTCGATGTACGTCCTGAAGTTGATGCCATTAACTGTTGTCGACTGCCTTGATCGAAATGTACTCTGCGGGGTGGCACTCCTCAAAGTATTGACGCGGTAGGAACGGGTTTTTTGCACCGTCCCATTCAATGGCTTGGGAATGGGCATCGTTTCTGTGCTTGATAAGGTGCTTAATGATGTTGTCTTTGCGATAATTGACATTCGACTGCCCGCAGAGCATGCATGTCCGTGTCTCATGGGTTGCAATCCCGCTTACGCTTGGCATCCTTCATCCCCGCTGCCACATGATTGAGGAATTCTGCTTTGCCTAGTTTTGATATTTGTAATTCCCCAAATAGTCCCGAAATTAGAAATTGGGTTTATTGCCGGATAAAATTTAACCGGACAATGCGCCAGAGGCGCATGCGCCTAAAACGAGAACCCCATCGCATAGTGCTAAAGCCGCTACTTCAGCACTTGCAATGGGTGCAATCAAGACGTCTTGCGCCACCGCCCGCGCAACCACGTGATCACACCGGCAGGGAGATGCACGGTACCGACACGGGCTGGATGGTGGAATGAGGGATGACCAAATTTCATTGGGTTAGTAGGCAAGTGGTGAAATTAGACCTGTTAGAATTGACCGAGTCCTGAATACCACATCACATGATCTTGCTCTCATACACAGCCTACACAAAATTTTCAAGGCTCCTTGCATCAACCGCCATCACAGGAATAGAATATATCGCAACAGGGCGTGATGAATCTACGCAGCGACTTTGGAAACGGATCAAATCTCATAATTTCTATAAACAAATATTTATGAAGTATTGAAGGCTGTTCAAAAATTCAAATACTAGTAAAGTACTTAGGACGACTTACACGAAATTTCGTTTGAAAGATGAAGCTGCGAATAACTCTGGCCAACAAGCATGACTTGTACCAAGAACATGTGCGCAATCCAAGCAAGTCGTATGCTGAGCTGGCCCAATAGGCCGCGTACCAATTTAAACTAAACTCCGTTCCGACAAAATCGGCCATATGTAAGGCCATGAAGCGGAACGAAACTCAAAGTCAACGAGCCGACAGCAAAGCACGAACATGCCATCGTTCTGTTAAACTACCCGAAGTCGAAGCGCAAACACTGGCGTGGGTTCTCTGCTGCGAGGAACTGGACCTCTGCGTCACCGGGAAACAATGGCAATCTCACAACAACTGGCTGTGTCGGCATCGCGTCAAAATCCTACTGGAAGGGTTGGCTGCACAAATTTCAACGAAAGCGTGGACTCACCAGCAAAATCTAACATGGCGAAGCTGCTTCCATGCCGCTTGTGGCGCTTCCACGCCGCTTGAGGCTGTTTCTGTGGGCCGCCAACAGATACTACAAGAAACAAGTGGTTACAATCCCCAGGACATATACAACATGGACACAGAGACATCGTTCTTCAACTGCTTGGCTCCACATCGCTCCATCACACGCAACCGAGTGCCTGGCACAGAGAAGTAAAAAAAGCGCATCACAATGGCTCTTACGACAAACGCGGCAGGCACGGATACCGTTGATCCGCTGTTCATCGGGTCTGCAATCCGCCCTCGTTGCTTTGGCGATCGGAGTGGAGAGCAGCTTAGGTTTGACTACCATGCCAGTAAGAAGGCATGGATGAACGGCGAAATCTTCAATTCGTACCTGGAATCGCTGAACGAGCGCATGGTGGAGGAGGACTGCAAGGTCCTCATGCTTGTCGACAATGCACCATGCCACAAACTGGACGAAGACACTGCGCTGTCGAACGTAAATGTCAAAATGCTGCCAAGAATACAACTGCGTACCTGCAGCCGCAAGATGCGGGAATCATTGCACATTCAAGGCGCACGTGAAGCAGCGGCAGCTCCAGAATGCATTGGAGCATATAGACATGGTGATGGCACTCAAGAAGAGCTCGAGTTCGCTTTGAACGAAGTTTATCAAGGGCGACGTTGCCCGCGATACTGGCATCTCCTACGAAACCATCATGCGAAAGGTTTGCCTGCTCAAGGCAGGCAAGGACCTCATGCCAAAGCGGCGTGGTCCCAAGCCACTGTTTCCGGACTCGTTCGAGCAAGACATGGCCGCCTGGATCTCAGCCATGCAGCAAGAAGTCATGCCAGCCACGAGGTTCGTTATACTGCTCAAGGCCAACAAGCTACTCCGACGCCTCGACCCGCTTCGAACGGTTACCGGAAGTTGGTACCGTCGATTCATGAATCGCCACCCCGAGCTGACCACGCGTCTTGCGCAAGTGATTTCCAATGCTAGAAATAGCGTTGATGAGGTTGGCTTAAAAAGGCTTTTCGACTCGATGGAAGAAGCTATTCGCGTGCATGGACTTACCGCCGAGCGTATATTCAACATGGATGAGACATCGTTTGCCTCGCGACACAAGCCAAAGGACGTTGTGGCTCTGAAGGGTTCGCGCAATGTTTGGGCCAAGACTATGACTGCTAGCTTCCACCTTTCTATTGTGGCGTGTGGTAATGCTTTGGGTCAACTTATTCCTCCACTTTTTTTGCTACCTGGTGAATCTCTTGATAAAGATTTGGGTTTGAATTGCAATGTACCAGGAGCTACAGTTTCGACAACTCCTAAGGGTTTCATGAATGAGGATTTGTTTGAAGTTTGGTTGAAATATTTTTCATCTATTGTTGATGATAATATTCCTCGTCCAATTTGCCTAGTTTTTGATGGTTTGTCTTCACACTATTCTACAGCAATTGTTGAATTATGTGAAACTTTGGAAATCATTTTGCTTTGCTTGCCTTCAAATGCAACATATTTGTTTCAACCATTTGATGTTGCAGTATTTGGCCCATTCAAAAATGCGATTCGTCGAGCCATTTTTGACGCCATGATTAACGACGGTATAAATATGAATCAATTTAACATAATCATCACATTTTTGAAATTAATTTATGACGTTATACTATGTAGAGTTCGGAGACATGCACTCCATATCCAAAGCTGCAGCAATTTCAATCGCTTCAAACGCGTGGACTAACCATGTCTTGCCAACAAATCTGGTCAGCGGATTTCGAACGTCTGGGCTGTTCCCTGTGTCATTGGAACAAATGATGACACGCTTTGAAAGGTTCAAAGAAGGCGGCGTACCTGAAACGCATATTCACGCGGAGTGGCTGGAGCGCCGCGTTGAGCTTCGGCGTGAACTGCTTTGCTTATCTGCAGCAGCAAAAAAACGTGTTGGTCGCAAGCGCATTGACGTCGCCGGGCGCATTCTTACCCTAGAACTCATGCACGAAATTGATCAAACGAAGAAAGAACGGGATGCAGCGGCTAAGAAGACAAAGGAGATGCGTGCAATCCGAGCCAAAAAGAAAAAGAAAAATGAAATTACCTCGATCGGCGCTGACGAGCAAGGCCTTGATGATGTGGACGGTAACGAAAACAATGTCGGCGACGACAACGAAGACGGCGACAACAACGAAGACGCAGAGCTGGCTGAATTCGTTTGCCTAGAGGAAGTAGTGGTTTAGTTCTTGATAATGAAATCATCATTCTCCTCTTACACTCTTGGCTGTGGGTGGTGTTCGTTGTGCCAAAGCGCAGTGCCAAATTGAAAATGGTCTCCAAAGATTTCAAAGGACTCAGGAAACGTATAACCTGTTAGAATAAATAACTTCCCTACCGAAATTGAATTACCCTAATCGCAGAATTTCGATGCAAAACGTAATACAAAATGCAAGGTTAAATTATACGACTTAAATTGGCACTCAGACCAAATGCAAGCGTGCTTACAAAATTGCATTTATGCACCTCTAAATGACCTTAATACATCATGCCTCTGTTTCGATTAGGTTGTGGAGTGATTTCTCTACACGGGGAACGCTTTAGAATTTTCATCCAATGCCTCAGACACGAGATAGGGCCATTTTACCAAAGCAAAAAATGTGGTATGTCATAAATTGGCACTTTGCGTTAAACAAATGGTCGTGAGTGTTCTTGTGATAATTTATACTCCGAAGTACTTCTTTAAGTGAATATACTCTCAGAATTTTGCACAGTCTGGCGTTTCCAAAGTGACCCTTCTTGACACTTTGGCCGTTCTTGCTTTGGCCATTTTTTGCCGAGGTTCGGTCACTTTACGGATAATATCCAGTCATCCGGAATTATCCGGTGTTCTTTCTCTGTAGAACCCGGACTGTTTATGCCCAATCATAGGTCAGTTAAACAGTCCGTTAATGATCACTTTTGGTTTTGTCATCGACCACACAAGTGTTCTTCGTCGTCGTTCCTCCTCAGCGCTACCCCCTGCATCGTCCCTCTTGACAGGTTATGAGCCTCCTCCCTTCCTCTGTGCAGCCCTTCGCAGGCACCCCACTTGACCTCCGGCCTCTGGCCTACACGCTCTGGAAAACGGACTTCGTGTCCCAAGCCACGTCCCGCGACCTTGCAAAGTTCTACTCCACGCAGGACTCTATCGGCGACCGATCGCGATGCGCGTCTCGCTGAGATCAAGGCGCACACGACCGCCATCCAACGTAAGGTCATTGCCCGTGAGGTGACCAAGAAACTAGCGAATCAACGCTCTGCGGCGCACACCTTTTTGGTCTCAGCCATTTCTACCAACCTCCGGCGCCTCTATCAGGCCACTACGTGTCCATTGGAGCTCTTTGAGCGCATTAAAACACGTTTCGAGTCGAACCCCATGGACAACAACCCCACGGTCATTGCCAGCTATCTGCGCACTCTCAAGTTCACCGATGAGAGTTGTATCGACACTCTATCCGTGGAGCTTATTGACCTTGTCAAACGCTACCGGATGTCTATGACGCCGCCGTCGTTTAATCCTCTGGATCCATCGGCAATCTCGTCCATTGATTACCGCGACCTTATTTGAAACTACTACACCTGTGTGCGATGTCCGACACCATTATTGGTGACAAGGAATTGTGGGAAGTCGTGACGAACTCAGTGGCCACTGCGCGCGCCGCCAACCAGTCTGTTGTCGTTGCTGACGTTTGGGCCTCTCTTCGGCGTATTATTACGAACCGCCTGCAACGAGCTTCTGCTCTGTGTGACAACGGTTCCGTCGCTATCTTTGAAACGCAAACCCAGCTTGCAGCTGTCACGCATGCCGTTGCGGCCCCTGCGCCACAAGCAATTGCGCAAGCCGATGGCTCAGTTCATGTTATGAACGCTTTCACTATCCCGAGCTATGCTCACCGTGATTGTATCAATCACCCCGGCAAGTCCTGCTTCTACTGCGTACCAATCACACGCTTCCTGCGTATCCCACCCTCAAGTCGGACTATGCCCGCAAAAGCACACCATGCGTCCTGGCTTTGATCGTACTGTCTTTGACAAGCATGGTTCTGCCTCTCAAAAGAAAAGAAAACGCGACTATGTTGCTCCGACACGTCCTATCCAACGTCCTCGTGACGACCGCGATGATCGCGATGGGCCTAGTGACAACCAGGGCTCTAATAGCCACCATGGATGGGGACCAAGTTCCTCTAGTGGTCCTGGAAATGGCGGGTGGAACAACAATTGTGGTAACAGCCGTGATAAAAATCGCTACCGCGATCGCAGCCGTGATCAACAACTCGACCAAGGCTACGGCCGCACTCATCGTGGGAGTCTTTATGACCAGGCTGGCACTGCTGCTCGTGCAGCCACTCGTCCATTTATCCATGAAGGCAATCGCCTCAATGGCTTTGCCGACACCCACATTTATCCAACCACTTTGTGCCTCCCTCCACTCTCAACCGGGTCCTCCAGCGCCCCAACCCACCATCGGTTCTACCAAAGGTGTTCCAACCGGGCTCTGCCCCACTCTGCGATATTTTTTCATCACCGCCCCATGAACCTCCGCTTATTGCAGCTTCTACCCTCGCATCCATCACTGATGCACCGGGCAAGCTCCCCGACCACTACCCATATCCTGTGGATGCCGGCGATTTAGACTTGGCTGAAGTCCCTTCTGCCGAGGTACTTATTACCGAGCGTGCCCCTCTACCCACCACCACCATTGTTCCAAATTCCCACGAACCCAACCAAAGTGGATCTTCCACTATTCCCACCCAGTGCCTTCTCGGCCACACGCAGTGATATTATCACACCGGCGTCGGAAACACCGATAAAGGTGGTTCTCCAATTGCCCCCAAGATGTGTGGACGGTGTCCGTCCCCATCCCCCATTCCAAGTTGTTGGTGGACAAGGCATTTTCGCCCTTCATGCGGACCTACTCTATGATATTCGTCCATGCGCTCTGCGCCTCATCTTTGGTCAACATTGCCCTGAACTACAGTTCAACTTGTTATCGGTTCGCCAAGCGACCGATGAAGGCACCTCAGTCCGTTTTACGGCTCGCGACATGTGCGAAATTACCACCACTCTTGGTGATGTGCTTCGTGCACCTAACAATGCCATGGGTATATACTCCTTTCCCTGCCAGCCCAAATGCGAGTCCTCAACCGATCCGCACCGTGGCGAGTATATCCACCCGGGCCAAATGGCCATGCTTACTGGCATGATGGCCACCTTTGAGACCGTTTTGCGGAAATTCTCCTCGACCTACAGTGGATTTTCCACTTTTAACGATCAATTGCACATGTTTGCATATTCGTCTGTGTTGCGCTATGCGCCAATCATTCAACGACCATATATGATCTCCAAGCCAACACCGTTCTACCCAATTACTCCAGACTCTGTCTCGATGAGTGTAGCCCAGGCTATGATTGGGTCACACACTCCTACACCTGTCTATGACACCACTACTGTTCCAACCGACTGCCTTATTAGCCTCGTGGCTGACTTCAAGCTCTCTGCAGCTAGCCTTGCACGCCTCTGGTACCGCCGTCACGACCATCCAGGCGTTGATACCTTCAACCAAATGACAAAGACAAACCTCGAGCTTATGCTCTTCAAGGCCAAGCACCTTCGTGGTCAATTATGTGAGACTGTGCTTATGCCAAGTCCAAACGCAGTCCTTTTGACTCATGCGGTCTCCCGCGCAACCTCCTACCTAGCCCTAGTACACTATGATGTTTGGGGTCCAAGCTCGATTTTGTCGGCGGGTGGCGCTGCCTACTTTGTCGTATTTATCGACGACTACTCCCGCTTTATGTGGACCTACCCCATGCGTTTTCGCAAAGATCTCTATGAGACCTACGAATTATTTCGTACGGACGCCATGTCCATTTTTAAACATGATGTTAGTGAGCTGCGCCACTCATCACCCATGTACATCGGCACCCTTCAAAGCGACAACGCGAAAGAGTACGAGAAACTCGGGTGCATTATTAAGCCCAAGTACAACACTCGGGTGGCATTCTCCAACGCCTACTCCCCTCAACAAAACGCTGTTGCCGAACGCCGTATCGGTATTGTTGTCCAAAAGATGCGAGCTATGCTCATTGAAGGGGCTCTGCCCAAGTTTCTATGGGCTCTTGCCCTTGATTATGCCTCGTGGCTTATCAACATCTCTCCTTCGGCATCCAACAAAGGTGTTTCACCCTACCACGTCGACTTTAGACGACACCCATCTTTGGGTCACATCAAAACCTTTGGTTGCACCGCGTTTGTGCACATTCAACGTGCTGCGCAATCCTCCAAGCTCGATCCCCGTGCCGTCAAGGCCATGTTTGTGGGTCTCCACATGATCGAAAGGGTTATACCCTCATGCATTTGCACTCTTATTTATTAATTTATTCTGGTGACGTCACCTTCTGGGAGTCCGAATTCCCAGCCATCAACTCTGTTGTTGCTGCTGCGGCGTATCGCCAAAAATCTACCACCGACCCCAACTTTATTCCAACCTTGGAACCCAACGCACCATTGCCGCCGTACACTCCATCATTACCAACAGGCCTAGTGCCTTCCTCTATGACAAGCATTTGGCTTCATCGCCACCTGTTCTTTCTACAGAACCCCCGTCGTCTCGACCCATTACAGCACTTTCTGTGCAACTACCCAAACGAATTCAAGATGTCTTTTCGGCATTTTCGTTGACCAGTCCGGTCTTTGACCCAACTGCTACTCCTTTACGACGATCCTATGGTCGCAACCAGTCTGCCTTCTCGGCCCATCCATCAACAGCCTTGTCGGCTAAGCCATCAATGGCCAAAACAACACTTGACTTTATTAGTCATTATTCTCGTTGTCTCCTCGTGGACACAACTCCTTTGGAGTCACTTGACACCTACCACAACTACATGCACCATGCACTCGTGCTTACGCCGCCAAGTGTCATGCTACCTGTGAGCTCTGCTCCTACTTTGGCTCCTATGGAACCATTGTTCGCTATGCTTTGCTTGCCGACCGTGCCAACAACAACGACCCCAAAGACTGGCGTGATGTCATGTCCCGTCCCGACCGCGACAAATGGCTTGTAGCCGCCAAGTCCGAATACGAGTCTTTACTCTCTAACGGCACTTATGTGCTCGTCAAACGTCGTCATGATGAAACGTTCTACCGTATCGCTGGGTCTTTCGACTCGAAGCCGATGGCACTTACAAGGCCCGACTTGTTGTCAAAGGGTTGATGCAACAAAAAGACATCGAGTACACGGACATTTTTGCTCCTGTTGTTCTACTTGAAGTCCTACGCTTCCTATTTGCCTTAGTGGCCATCCATGATTTGGAATGCGAACAAATGGACGTCAAAACCGCCTTTCTAAATGGCAAAATCGACTGCGTTATACGCATGGAGCAGCCTCCTGGCTCACTCATTGATCCTGCCTCTAGGCGCGACTATGTCTGCCTCCTTCAAAAGAGTCTTTATGGACTCAATCAAGCTCCTCACCTATCGCACTGGACTTTTGTCACTTATATGGCTTCCTTGGGCTTTGCCCGCCTTCACAAAAACCGCTGCGTCTTTCTCAAAGCCCGATATGATGGTTTGACCATCTTTAGTCTCTATGTCGACGATATTTTCATCATTACTCCTACCAAGGCTCTTGCTGCCGCTCTCAAGGAGTCACTATCACTACGCTTCCAGATAAAGGACTTAGGTCCTGTTTGAGATATTCTCGGCTGGGAAATCGTCCGTGACCGTTCCAAACGAACTCTGTTCATCCATCAATCTCGTTGCTGTTCTACAGTACTTGATCGCTTTGACATGTCAACGTCCAAGCCCGTCGCCACTCCTTTTGAGTGCACCACGCCTTTATCCAAGGCTCAGAGTGCTAGTTCACCTGACGACATTGCATTTATGCAAACCAAACCGTATCAGTCAATAGTTGGCAGTATTATGTACTTAGCCATGGGCTCTCGCCCCGACTTAACTTATTCCCTTCAACAACTTTCGCAGTTTGAGTCTTGCCCATTGGCGTGTTGCCAAACGCGTTCTACGCTACCTCCAAGGTATCTCCAGTCCTGGACTTATGTTAGGCGGCCAAGACTATGTCTCCAAGCCGTTTCTATCCGCTTATGTGGATGCTAACTATGCCATGTGCCCCGATACTCGACGCTGTGTCAGTGGATTTTTTATCCTATTTTTCAACAGATTTGTTTCATGGCTTTCGAAGAAAGAAGGTATCGTGACTCTGTCAACGACCGAGGCCGAGTTTGTGGCTGTTGCCCTTTGCATTCAAGATTATTTATACGTTCGCCAACTCGCTGCCGAACTACATCACACTAGTGATCAACCGATTTCGGTTCATGAAGACAATCAGTCTGCTATCAGCATCGCCCAAAATACTGAGCATCATATGCGCTCCAAGCATATTGATGTGCGTTTTATGTTTGTTCGCGATCTCGTTGAGAAAAAGGAGTTTATTCTCCATTATTGTCCTACCAAAGAACAACTTGCGGACTTCTTTACGAAGGCGCATCCGGAACCTGCGTTTCGCAGGTTCTTCCTCGCTCTGCGACTCTATGCCCTTGGTGACTGCCTTTG